GACCTGGTCATAGAAGGCTACAAGGTTTGTCAGGCAGGATCTACCTGTGACAAACCCGTGCTGGTTTCCCCTCAGCATCGTTTCCCCTGCTGGGCCTGCACAAATGTGTTCTTTGATTATTTTCTCTAGGATTTTCCCAGGAATAGAGGTAAGACTGACTGGTCTAAAGTTACCCGGCTCATCTCTTCTCCCTTTCTTGAAAATGGGCACCACATTGGCCCTTCTCCAGTCCTCAGGGACCTGGCCGGAGCACCATGAGTGCTCGAACAGCTGTGCCAGTGGCTCAGCTGTGACACTGGCCAATTCTTTCAGCAGCCGTGGATGGAGGTCATCCGGGCCTGCTGACTTGTACCCATCCAGCTCCTCCAGGAGCTCCTTAACTATTTCAGACCTAACCATAGGCGGACTGGTGCCATGTGGACCTCCATCAATGATCGAGGTGGGGGAATTGGCTGTTGGTACATAGAAATACTGAAGCGAATACTGGCCTTTTAACTATCTGTTAAAAGGCCAGCATGTCCCTTATGTTGTTTCATCCAGTTTCCCATGGTCTAATTATCATAATAAGTGACTCTTCATTGAAGACAGCATTGAAATCTAGCTAAAATCCAGGCATATTGCATCCACTACTCCCCCCCTCCAATTCACAGAGCCTAGTACTTTATCATAGAAGGAAATCCAGTTGACCATGCATGGGTTGTTCTTAAAGGATCCATACTAGCTATTCCTGATCATCTAGTTTCCCTCTCTTTAAAAATAAATTCCTTAGGATCATAGGAAAGTAGGGCTGGAAGGGGCCTCACTAGGTCATCTAGTCTAGGCCCCTGCCCAAGGCAGGATCATCCTTGGCTAAAGCATCCCAGCCAAGTGTATGTCTAACCTGCTCTTGAAAACTTCCAAGGATGGAGATTTCACAATTACTCTACGTAGCCTGTTCCAATGCTTGACCACCCACAGAGTCAGAAAGTTCCTCCTAACCTCCAATCTATATTTCCCCTGCTGAAGCTTGAGGCCATCTTAGTTATATCCCCTACAGTCATGGAAAAGAGCCAATTTCCATCCTCTCTGTAATTGCTCTTCAGGTATTTGAGGACTGTTATCAAATCCCTCCTTCTTGATGACCTTTTCCATGATCTTCCAAGGGAGGTGGTGCTATCCTTTACCCTGGATGTCTTTAAGAGGAGACTGGACAAGCACCTGGCTGGGGTCATCTGATCCCAAGTGCTCTTTCTTGCCCAGGGCAGGGGGCCAGACTTTATGATCTACTGAAGTCCCTTCTGCCCCTAAAAATCTATGAAATCTATTAAATGTATTAAATCTTTCCAGGTATCAAGGTCAGATTAATTGTTCTGTAATTTCACAGATTCCCCTTCTTGCCTTTCTTAAAGATGGACACTATATTTGCCTTTTTCAAGTTGTCTGGGACCTTCCTTGACTTCCATGAATTCTTTAAGATAACAGCCAAAGGCTCTGAAATTTCCTTAGCCAAGTCCTTGAATACTCTGGGATACATATCATCTGGCCCTGTTTACTTGAAAACATCTATCTTTTCTAAGTAATCCCAAATCTGTTCTGTAGCAGGGCACCAAGATGTGCCTGCTACCTTAAAGGGCAGAAGCAGCCTGGCCAGACTGCTCAGAGGCCTAGGCAGAACCCCACAGCTGCAGGTTGCCTGAGCAACAGCCTAAGAGGGTAATTGGCCAGCACCTGCAGCCAGTCAGGTGACTGGGAGGGGACAGGCCACTGCAGATATATAAACCCAGGGCTGGAGCTAGTTAGAGGTTCTCTTGCTTAGTAACTGCCAAGGAAAGGTGCCCTGAGCTACCTGAGACTAGGTGCTGCCTACTTTGCTGCCAGAAGTATAGTGAGGCTTCAGGAGTCTAAGATACTTAAGGCTAAGAGACGTGGTCCTAAGGTGAGAAGTTTTACCCTCTTAAAGAGACAGAAGCCAGTCTCCATTAGTGTTATGTTGTGGCCCAGTGGGTTGTATTTGTGTTGTGGTTTATCCTGGAGGACCAGGATGAGGCTATAAGGGTAGTTTTGGAGGTCTCATTAGTGCTTGGAGAAAAGGGCACAGGATCTGGGCAAAGCCCAGTGATGGGTGCATAGAACTTGGAACCAGAGAAAGGGAGGCATGGAGCTGGGTGTCAGAGAGGTGTGGAGCTGGGTGCTAGAGAGGAGGCATGGAGCTGGGTGTCAGAGACATGTGGAGCTGGGTGCCAGAGGTGGCGCAGAGCCAGGTGCCAGAGAGGGAGGCACAGAATCAGGCACCAGAGAGAGGTGCAAAAAGAGAGACGTGGAGCTGGGTGCCAGGGATAGGCACAGAGAGCCAGACAGAGAAAGGTGCAGAGTCAGGTGCCAGGGAGAGAAGCACAGAAAGTCAGGCAGCTGTGAACTCAGTGCCTGAGTGGTGTAGAGACACAGGAGCTGGAGGGCTCTGTGCCAAGAGGGCACATAGAGTTGATAACAACAGTGTAAAGTCTGCAAGGTATGCGACATAAGGGAAGGTTGGAGTCATTTGTAATCCCCTAGACATTGAGGCATTAAAAGGGAAGCTTCCTGCACTATTGTAGCTAGTATCTTAACAGCAAGGCATGGCAGGAAAGACTGGGCAGAGTGCCCTAGATAGGTGGGTGGGTTGGTACTGAGAGTACTACTACTTAGTACTGGTAGCCAATTTTAGTTGTGAAGACCAAAGTAAATGATGCATTAAATACTTCAGCCTTCTTCACATCATATACACATACTCTATGTTTAGCAAGAGACTTAAACTTTCCTTGGCCTTGTTTCTACTCATGACATCCCTGTAGAATGATTTTGCCTGCTTTTTGTGTCCCTTGCTAGTTGCATCTCCATTTGTGCCCTGCCCTTCCTGATTTTGTTCCTGTTTGCTTGTGTTATGCTTTTATACCTCTTCCTTGTAACATGGTCAAGTTTCCACTTTTTGTACAATACTTCTTTGAGTTTTAGTTCATTGGAGAGGTCACCATTTAGCAAGGCCAATATCTTGCTGCATTTCCTATCCATTCTTTGTACTGGGATAGCCTACTATTGTGTCCTTAATATGGCCTCCTTAAAGTGCAACCAGTTCTCTTGGACTCCTCTTCCCCTCAGACTTGCCTCCCAGGAGATCCTGTCCACCAGTCACCTGAGTTTGTTAAAGTTTGCTTTCTTGAATTCCAGTGGGTATGTACAGAAGTACCCCATGCACGTTTTACAGCATTATGATATAGAGCACTTTTTTATAGCACTATAAAGTTACAGTGTTCTTAAACATGACAGAAGTGCAGTGTTTGGTTGGGGGGGCGGGGGCTCTGAACCTCCCAGCACTCGCCACGTTAGGAGGAAGGGGGTGCTCTGAAGCCTCTTGGGGCTTCTTTACTGGTCAGAAATTTGACTAGTGTACAGAAGCTATTCAACGCACTGTAGGTTGCTGAAGTGTTGTAAAATATAGCACTTAAAATGTAATACCTCATTTAACAAGGGTTAATTTAAAGTGCTGTACCCATTTTAAAGTGGCGTAAAACTGTGAATTTCTGTTAAGTCATGGCAATCAAACACTTTCATAGATTTCATAGACATTAGGGCTGGAAGGGACCTCAGAAGATCATCGAGTCCAGCCCCCTTCCCCAGGGGAAAGAAGTAAACTGGGGTCAAAGGATCCCAGCAAGATAAACATCCAAATGTCTCTTAAAGGAGTCCAAAGTAGGTGCTCGCACCACCTCTGGCAGCAGTCTGTTCCAGGCCTTTGGGGCTCAGACAGTAAAGAAGTTCTTCCTTATGTCCAGACTGAAACGGTCTTGGAGGAGTTTGTGATTGTTTGACCTTGTCATTCTTTGGGGTGCTCTGGTGAACAGGTGTTCCCTGTGGTCCTGATGTACACCCCTTATATACTTATAGGCAGCCACCAGGACCCCCCGAGCCTGCACTTTTCCAGGCTGAAGAGTCTCATGGCTCTGAGCCTTTTATCATAAGGCCTCGTCTCCTGCCCTCTGATCATGCATGTGGCCCTCCTCTGGACTCTCTCGAGCTTTTCCACATCCTTTTAAAATTGTGAAGCCCAGAACTGGATGCAGTACTCCAGCTGCAGCCTCACCAAGGATGGGTACAGGGTGAGGATGACATCCTGGGATTTGCTTGAGAAGCATCTATGGATGCAAGCCAGAGTTTTGCTCACTTTACCAGCTGCGACATTGCATTGGTGGCTCATATTCATCTTGTGGTCAGTCATGACCCCTCAAGTCCCTTTCGACTCTGGTGCTAGCACGCATAGCACTGCCAAGCCTATAAGTGTGCTGTAGGGTTTTTTTCCCCGAGGTGGAGTACCTTGCATTTTTCGATGTTGAGCATTGCTGACTGACTTGCCAGCTTTATGGTGGATAGTGAAAGTGATCAGCTCATGGTCACTGTCTCTCAGCTTCCCTTCGATCATTAGGTCACTGACTAGATCATCCCCCCATTGCCAGTACCAGGTCGAGCAGTGCTTTGCCTCTTATCGATCCATAGACTTCCTGAGTCAGAGCTCATCCACACATGTGAAGAAGCTTTGCAACTGTTCGGATTTGGCTGAGTGCTCTTCCAATGAGATGTCTGGGTAGTTGAAGTCTCCCATGACATCCATGCACTGGGAGCGTGCAGCCTCAGCCAGTTCCCTGGAGAATTCCTGGTCGAGCTCTCGATCCTGATTAGGTCTGTAGTAGACTCCTACCATTGTGTCCCCTGTGCCATGTCCACCATGGATTTTAACCCATAGAGTCTCCAGTCATCCACCCTGGATGTCAATGTCAGCTTGGAGGGACGTGTGGCTTTCCTTGACATAGAGAGCTACACCCCTGCCCCTTTTGTCCACACAATCTCTCCTGTATAAGGTATAGCCAGCTATACCTGTGGCCCAGTTATAGGTGGAGTCCCACCAGATCTCCATTATCCCTATGAGATTGTAGTCATTCTTGTTTAGCAGGAGGACAAGTTCCGCCTGTTTATTTCCCAAGCTCCTGGCTTTGGTGTACAGGCACTTAAGTGTCCCGTTGGAGGCCCTAATCCTTCCTACACATCATTTCGGGGCTGGGGTAGAGGTGGGTTCCCTTGAGTTCCTTAGCCTGCTGGATTTGTAAAAGTTGCCCAGTGGGCTTGCTACGGCAGTAATCCCCCGATCCCCTGGCAGACTTAGTTTAAAGCCCGGTTGAGCAGGTAAGCCATTCTGACCAAAGAGCAGACTGTAATCATGGAAGTCGAAGCCTTCATGATGACACTAGTGCTGCAGTCTTTGGTTAACTACCTCAATTCTCCTCTCCCTCCTCAACCCATAACCCAAAACTGGGAGGATCGAAGAAAACATCACCTATGCCCCAAACCACCTAATCCCTGCTCCCAAAGCCCCGTAGCCTCTCATGACCTGGTTTTGATTGCTCTGAGCCATGTCATTCGTGCCCACATGGATAAGGAGCATAGGGTAGTGGTCGATGGGCCAGATGAGCTTTGGCAGCAGACCTCCTGGGCTAAGGGGTCGGGGCAGCAGATTGTGCCCTCATTCCCCTTCAGGAGGGAGTCTCCTACAATGACCACTCTACATGTAGCTTTAGAGAGAGCAGGGATGGTAGCTGTGAGTGAGCCTCCATTGCTTGCAGGAGTTGGCAGCTCTGCAGGCTCTACTGGGGCTGCAAGAGCTTCGTACCTGTTGGAAAGCTCCAGAGGGGAGGGGACCCTGGTGCAGCAGGCCTTGGGGCCATTGACTACCTTGGTCCAACCCCCTGGCAGGACAGTATGGGAGATCCTGGAATCCTCCCTTGTCCTGGAAGGTGACCTTGGTCTACCCTCAGCCTCCAGGGGGTGAAGGGTCTGGCAGTAGGAGTCTGTCTCCTGCTTACTGTCCCTGATGGCATGCAGTCTCTGGACTGCAGCCTGGAGCTCCTCTATCTTGCACCCCAGAGACTCCAAAGTAGAGCAGACCTCACAAAGGGAGGTGGCTATGCTCCCTGTCCCATGTGCCTGGAAATGTGCCAGGCAGCCCCTGCAGCCGAGATCCAGAGGCTCTGTCTGCATGAAGCCCGGAACCTGGATTATGTCTGGGTGGAGACCTCAGAAGTACCAGAGGGGAAGGCCTCAGACCAGGCCTTCCACCATTTTAAATGGTGAAAAAGCAACTTCTGTACACACCCAATGGCTCTGTTCTGCTGCTGTCCTTCCTTTCTTTCCTTAGGGTCCTGATCTCTATTTTATGGTCATTGTCCCCTAAATTGCCTTTCATGTGCACATTCTCAACCAGTTCCTCCTTATATGTAAGCAGTCAATTAAGATGAGCTACTTGCCTAGTTGGCCTACATACCATCTGTATGAAAGTTGTCCCTGACACAGTCCAAGATCTTGGTGGACAGTCTGTCCTTTGTTGTGTTTTTCTCCAAGCTGATGTCACAGTAATTGAAGTCCCCATTGATCACCAGGCCCTGTGATTTAAACGCTTCTGTTAGTTACTAGGAAAAACAGTCATTCAGTTCTTTCACTTGGTTTGTCTATAGCAGACACCTACCATGATATCATTCCTTCTTAACTTGATCCACAGGTCTTCAACAGACCTTCTTCCTGTTTCTTACCACATATCAGAACAAGTGTGTTTCTTTTATAGAGAGAACAACACCATGTCCTTTCTTCCACATTTGTCTTTCCTGAAAGAGTTATATTCAGTATGACAGTACTCCAGGCATGCAAACTTCCCCAACCAATTCCAGTTATCCCATACTTCCATGAGTATACTAGAACTTCCATTATTCCTGCTTATTCCCCATGCTGCTCACATTATCAGTATATAAACATCTTAACTAATTGGCCGATTGTCTTAATGTCTCTTGAATGCCTTGTTAAAGATCCCCTTATTGACTTCTTTTGTTTGGCTTTTATCTAAGTCAGCTGGCTTTTTCCTTACCTCTGGGCTTTTATCTCTGTCCCTCACTGAACCTAATTTAAAGCCTTCCTTACTAGGTTAGCTAGCTTGTGCACAGATATGTCCTTTTTTGTCATCATCAAGTGGATCCCATCTCTTCCCAGAAGTCCATCTTCTTTGAATACCATCCTTGGGTCAGCTAATCCAAAGTCCTGCTGGAAATGCCATCTAGGCAGCCATGCATTTATCTCCAGGAGCATCTGTGTCTAGCAGGGCTTTTACCTTTGATGAAAAGGAATGTTGATGATATAACCTAGCTCCTCTTTTCTTCATTTTGTTCCCCCAATTCTGTCATCACTTCTGATGATTTTTAGAGATGAAGCTAATCTATGACATCCCTGGCTGTTGCCCCTCTAGCAGCTGACATGTTGATAGGGACTATATAATGCTAATGTCCTACTAAAACAACAAAGCACATTTCAAGCCTGGTGCTGAAAAAGTGGTCCTGTATTGTCAGTTCTTCTGGTTATATTCATCATTAGAGAAACCAGGTTTACTTTATTCATTAACTCAAATGCTGGCTTGTTTCATGTGTTACAGGTTTATCTATGAATATTCAAGAAGGCACCAAGAATTCTCGACTGAGATGCTTCTAAGGATTGCTAAAGGATATGAAGAAGTCCTGGAAAAGTGCTGCAAAAATGAAAACCCTTCTGAATGTTATGGAAAAGTGGTAGGTATCATAGATTCATAGATGTAAGGGTCGGAAGGGACCTCAATAGATCATCGAGTCCGACCCCCTGCATAGGCACGAAAGAGTGCTGGGTCTAGATGACCCCAGCTAGATGCTTATCTAACCTCCTCTTGAAGACCCCCAGGGTAGGGGAGAGCACCACCTCCCTTGGGAGCCCGTTCCAGACCCTGGCCACTCTAACTGTGAAGAAGTTCTTCCTAATGTCCAATCTAAATCTGCTCTCTGCTAGCTTGTGGCCATTATTTCTTGTAACCCCCGGGGGCGCCTTGGTGAATAAATACTCACCAATTCCCTTCTGTGCCCCCGTGATGAACTTATAGGCAGCCACAAGGTTGCCTCTCAACCTTCTCTTGCGGAGGCTGAAAAGGTCCAGTTTCTCTAGTCTCTCCTCGTAGGGCTTGGTCTTCAGGCCCTTAACCATATGAGTGGCCCTTCTCTGGACCCTCTCCAGGTTATCCGCATCCCTCTTGAATTGCGGCGCCCAGAATTGCACGCAGTACTCCAACTGCGGTCTGACCAGTGCCCGATAGAGGGGAAGTATCACCTCCTTGGACCTATTCGTCATGCATCTGCTGATGCACGATAAAGTGCCATTGGCTTTTCTGATGGCTTCGTCACACTGCTGACTCATGTTCATCTTGGAGTCCACTAGGACTCCAAGATCCCTTTCCACTTCCGTGCCACCCAGCAGGTCATTCCCTAGGCTGTAGGTGTGCTGGACATTTTTCCTCCCTAGGTGCAGCACTTTGCATTTCTCCTTGTTGAACTGCATTCTGTTGTTTTCTGCCCACTTGTCCAACCTGTCCAGGTCTGCTTGCAGCTGTTCCCTGCCCTCCGGCGTGTCCACATCTCCCCATAGCTTTGTGTCATCTGCAAACTTGGACAGAGTACATTTCACTCCCTCGTCCAAGTCGCTGATGAAGACATTAAAGACTATCGGTCCAAACCGTATCGAAGGCCTTCCTGAAGTCTAAGTATACGACATCCACCCCTCCTCCTGTGTCCAGGTGTTTCGTAACCTGGTCATAAAAAGAGACTAGATTGGTCAGGCACGATCTGCCTGCCACGAACCCGTGCTGGTTTCCCATCAGCATAATTTGTCCTGCTGGGCTCTCGCAAATGTGAGCCTTGATAATTTTTTCAAAGATTTTGCCAAGGATGGAGGTGAGACTGACTGGCCTATAGTTCCCTGGATCCTCCTTCCTCCCCTTCTTGAAAATGGGGACCACATTGGCCCTTTTCCAGCCCTCCGGGACTTGGCCCGTGCGCCATGAGCGTTCAAATATTCCCGCCAGTGGCTCTGCAATTATGTCGGCCAGTGCCTTCAGCACCCTCGGATGGAGCTCATCCGGGCCTGCCGTATCAGTATTTCTTCACATGCAGTATTACAAATAGAGCATTGAGATTGCTGAGATTCTTTCATATGGTTTTAGAAGCAAGAGCTATTGTCACAAGTTTCATTCCAAATTCCCCAACCAGACCAATGCCCTGCTGGAAAGTGAGTGTTACTCCAGGATGTTACCCTCAAACTTGTATCTGGGGCAGGATGTTATTATGTGCTACATGGTTTGGTCAGGGTTTCCACAGTCACAGTCAGGCAAGATTTTTAGGCACCACTTTTACACCAGGTGGCCACACCAGCCATGTCCAGTGTGTATCCTATTAAGGGATGTCCACATACGCTGTAGAAGGTTGAAGCGTAGTTGCTGCATTGTTGGTTCGGAGACAAGGTGTTTCTTTGGATAAGGGTTTTCCCAATGCTTTCCTCCAAGATTCTTCAGTGTTGTGATATAGGGCGTGCTCGGTTCATGTCCAAAAAAGGTTTTTGTGAAATAATGTGACAAGTTGGGACATCTTGAAGGTCTCTCTGGATGGGAAGGTCCGGATTATTATTGATATGCATTATTTCTCTGTATGTTGCTGCATCCTGTCGAGTAGAGGGAGGAGTAATGTTTGAAAGTACTGGTAGTCACTGCACTGGAGTTGATATCAAAGTTACAGAAATAGTTCTCATTACTGAGTAGAGTTGTGTGTTGATGTGTTTGGTATGCCAACTTGAGGCCCAGATAGGTGCAGAGTACTCAGCTGTTGAGAAGACCAGAGCTATGGTACAAATGAAGAGGAGGACCAACCAACCTTGCTGAGCTATGGGGAATAAAGCAGGATCAGAATTCTGAAGAGATTCTAGTTCTAAAGAATTCATTGTAGGTTAATCCATTGGAGAAGCTAGTACTCCCATGGAAGAGGCACCAATTCCATCTTTATCATTCAGGATAAAGGCCTGTGGCTGCCTGGAAGGAGAGAACAATTGGAATAGCTCCACATGTGTTTCCTTCCTACCCCTAGATGTATAAAATAATGTGATGGTCATAGTCAGATTCCTAATGGACATACATCCACATCACTAAAACAATCTTAGAGAGGCACCTGGGTCAATAGCTTCAGCAGAGGCCAAAAATTCACTGAGCTTGGGGCAAGATTTATCCATTGACCCCTTTGTTCGGGAGTTCAGGGACAAATGTGAAGAAGCTTGTATTGCCACTAATTGTGTTGGACTGGGGATGAAAAGAAAGCATAATTTCCATATCTAATAATCCTATTTTTAGAAGCATTAAAGTGGGAAGGAGATGGGCATTTTATAGATAGTAAATCAAATGGATTTTCCTGTTTATCCAGAACATCAACATCTTAACTATAATTTAAAAATTCTGCTGTGGTTATTGAAAATATTGTGCTGACACATGGAGGACCCAGGAGGGATCAGAACTCATGTGTATGGGGTCCTGTACAAATATCTATAACATGCAGACTAAATGGTAGGGATCTTGGGGTGTTTTCACTTTTCTATTCAACATGTTACAAGGATCATCTGGACATCTCTTATTTGATCAGTTCCCTGCCATTGCAAGGGACTTGGGCAGTGGGGACACCTCAGTCAATCATGTGCTCTGTCAAGGGCATTAAGTCATTTCTGCCATAGCCTATTCTACCTATTAGACACATAAGTGGACCTTAGATACCACAGTGTGATTCCAGTCCAACCTTCACAAGTCTCTGAAAGGATGTTAATATAAAAGGTTGGTTGATCCTTGTCACTGCTTTTTTGGACTCAGTCTTAAAGATTCGTATGACTATATATCACAAAAGTAAATGATTAATGGATTTTTAGAGATGTCAACAGGCTGAAATGGGATCATACTTATATACCAAATAAATGAAATAGGATCTGAACTTTAAATGAAAGCATTTACTCCTTAAGAAGCTAACAGAAGTCACCATCAGATTATAGACTCGCAGAGACGAAGGGTTGGAAGGGACCTCCAGAGGTCATCTAATCCAACCTCTGCCTGAGGCAGGATCATCCCTATCTAAACCATCCTATACAAATCCATAGACTAATCTCTTATCAAAATTACACAGCTGACCTTGACACAATACAAGACATGAATGGCATGTGCCCCCGGTGGCTGTGGGAGGACGGCTGCACCAGTAGCAGCAGGAGTGCAGCGGTGGGAGCCTGGCAGTGGTGAGGAGGGGAGCTCTTGTAGACACTGCCAGCAATGTCAGAGGCGAGGGGGAGGGGGTGGCAAGTGCCAACCAGGGGTTGGCAACCACCTACAGGCGCCATCGGCAGTGTTGGCGGTGGCCAGGGGCGATTATGGACTGCCTGCAGGTGCTGCTGACAGTGTTGGTGGCACCTTTTTGCAGGGGGCGCACGTGCACCCATGTGCACCCCCTACACCTTGCCCCTGATACAAGATATAACCCCTTATTCTTCCACAAGTAAAGCAGAGGAACCACAGTGACTGATGTACTGCTGCTTCAAGGGTTGTTAAAATATACTTGAGACATACCAGGAAGAGGACCATGGCCCCCAGGTACAGAAGAAGGCAAAACCTCCCACACACTGTACCAAGAACATGTGTGTGATTATATTATTTTCCAGGCTCTATGGGCTATAAGAATAAATGAGCAAATGGTCCCTTCTGTCCTTTGAAATACTATGAAACTATCATATTTCCCTCAATCCTTGAGATTTACATCTCTCTGGGCACATCTACATGTTCACATTTACTGAGCAGTAAACTAAATTAATGTGCATTAACCAAAAATTACTATGCAGTATGGGCACATGTCTACACGTGCATGCCTGTACTATGCAGCAACTATGGTGGCTAATGCCAGTTCAGGTGTAAATTTGATACTTGCATGATACAGATATCAAATTTATGCCCAATTAGTTACTGTACAGTAACGCATGTGTAGACAACTTACTGCACAGTAACAATGTGCATGTGGACTGACCTGGGACTAACTATGTCTGTGAACTGACTTGTGGTCCCAAGTCAGACCACACACAGAATTAAGGCACTTTAATGCTTGCATGTGTAGATGCTGGCCTATTTCTTCTTACTGCACAGTAATTTACTGCACTGTAAATTTAATGTGATGTAAAAATGTGTGGATACGCCCTCTGAAAGCAAAATCCAAAGTGATTTTTTTCAAGCCCCAGAAAACCTGAATTTCACTTAATGCTGAAGGAATTCTGGGGAAAAAAAGGAATTGAAGAAGATTTGCCGGTGTTAGAAGATTAAACCCACCAGCTTGTTTAAGTTCATATATGCAAATCTTATACTCACTGTTTACATGTATATGTATGAGTAACATTTTCTTTAGGAAAACATTCAGAGAGACAGAAAACAAGGTCCTGTTTAAGTACAGTGACTATATGGGACACTGTGAAATCTATGAGACACTGCCTGCTTGCCTCTCCCCAGACCCGCTGCTGCTGCAGGCTGCAGGGAGTCAATGGCCTGTTAGTGACCCAAAGTTCTTTACTTCAGAGATGTTAACAATCACCTGTGAAATAACAGTTAGTGTTAATACAGTTTCCTATTTCCCAGAGCCTGTCACTGTGCCCATGTCCCACACCTGGGATGCTTGTTTTAATTTTCATCAGCCAGCCAGGACCAGCGTCCAGAATCTGGGACTGTTCCTGCCAATCTGGGACATATGGTCATACTATGTTTAAGTAAATAAGGATCCACTCCAGCAGCACAATGAAGCCCTGCTGAGTAATGAAGATACACATGCTGAGAGCACTTCCTGAAGTGGTTAGGACTCTTAGGGGTGTGCTGAGGATGGATCTGTTAATGGTAGGATTCTTAATTAATGTGTAGGCCAGAAATATACCTTAGAACTAATAGTAGATAAAAGTGGATGCATACTTTTTTTGCTTGGGTTGGAATCTGAGTATACCTTTCTCAGATTACATTATATGCTGTTAACAAGAAATATATTTACTTGCAGGAAGAGAAACTTCAAAGTCACATCCAGGAGACTGAGGCTACTGTAAAGACGAACTGTGATCTTCTTAAAAATGGAGGAGAATTTGAATTCCAAAAAGCGTATGTTGTTCCTGAAAAGCACCCTCACATATAAGTAGTGAATATTTGGGGTTTGGTAAAAGTGAAATTTTCCAGGCACAGATGACCAGAACCAAGGCACAAAAAGTGTTCAGCTGGCACTTCAGAAAGCACCAATACTGCACTGTAGGGACAAGACAGCTTCATAAGTGGTGCAAAGAGACAGTCCCTATTAAAAGGTGCAGAGAGACAGCTCCTATTTCTGCTACTCCCCTTGCTGAAGCAGTACAGCTTTAGACAGACTGCTTTGCACTTGGAGCAACTATTTTTGGTACATGACTTTCTGCCAAGAGTTTGTTCAACAGTGATCATCCAGCATGGAATCTTGTGATTTCAGGGTTCTTATCCGCTACACCAAGAAAATGCCTCAAGTATCCACAGAAACATTGCTTGAAATCACAAAGAAGATGGCAGCTGTTGGTGTCAAGTGCTGCCAGAAATCTGAAGACAGTCGCCTACCTTGTGTTGAGAGATATGTGAGTAGATGTCTTCCTTGGTCTTTGTCTTTGTTTAGATGGGTTTTCTTTGTAGAATAAGGAACAGGCATTCCTTCTGTAAATAAATCCCCTTCTGTCCGTGGATTGGGACATTCCATCTACCCCTCTGTTTTTATCTGGCTTCTTGGTTCAACCTGGTTACCGCCCTCCTTCTCCCTGAACAATAAAGGTATTGAGTTACAGCATGACTGGCTGTTTTTCTCAGTGAATGCCTGATGGGACAGGGGACAGAGCATGCTTTTCGCTCCTAGGAGAGCTTGGCTGTTTATTGACTAACTCAGTCATAACTGAGATTACCCTGGGAGGCTATGGGCTAAAACAAGCACCCAGAAACCTTACCAGTGGGCAAAGAAACCCTAAGACTTGCAGGGTCTGTGTACCTGGGGCTGCACAGAGCTCCAACAGAGACCAGTGCCTGGGTGGTGGCAGCATTACTCCAGGCTTGTGGGGGTTCTCGAAGAAGGGGGCTGGCCGGCCATGGGCTCCACTGGGGAGACTCAAGAAGTGTGGCTTTGGGCCTGGCATAGTGAGGTGGGTAGCTAGGCATAGCAGTGCCTCTTACTGTGCTGCCACACCTTGTACTTACATTAAAGAGGAAATGGCTTTGACTCTTATTTTGTTGTTCTTCCTTTCTCTATACAGCTTAGCATTGTGATTCAGGATATGTGCAAGAAACAGGAAGCAACACTGATAAATGACCAAGTTGCGCACTGCTGTAATGAATCCTATGCTAACAGGAGACCATGCTTCACCAAGCTAGGAGTGGATGAAAACTATGTGCTCCCACCATTCAATCCAGACATGTTCAACTTTGATGAGACATTGTGCACTGCTCCTCCTCAAATATGGCAAGAAAACCATCTTGGGTAAGACCTTTCTAATTCACTATAGATTTTCTAAGAATTAATATCCTGACATGGAAGTTCACCAGCTTGATGGACTGGCTATACTAAGGAATTATTTGCAGGTAGCCTGGGCTTGGGAGCTTATGTCAACACAGTTGCAAAGTAGGATGGCATGGTGACTCAGTCCAAGCCAGACCATGGCAGAGGACAACTAGGAAGAAGAGAGTCTTAGTTGGCCAGTTTGCTGCCAGCATCCTGAGAAATGTGGCTTGTGGGATGGATTTTTAATAATTAAAGGAATATGGAGCCTTTATGAGGTAACAGTGTGCCTTTGTTGCAAAGAAGGCTGGTTTATAGGGATACATTAGTAGATCAGGGAAAGTGTTTATTCACCTCAGTGTAGCAGTGGTGAGGCCACATCTGGAGTACCGTGTCAAGTTTTGAGCCCCCCATGACAGAAAGAACGTGGATAAATTGAAGAGAGTCCAGCAGAGGGCAACAAAATGGTTAGGCGGTTGGGGCAGATGACTTCTGAGGAGAGGCTGGGCTTATTTAGTCTGGAGAAAAGAAGACGGTGGGGGGTAGGAATTTAATAGCAGCCTTCAACTACTTGAAGGTTGATTCCAAGGAGAATGGAGCTAGAGACTCTTATCAGTGGTGGCAGATGACAGAACAAGGAGCAATGGCCTCAAGTTGCAGCAAGGGAAGTTTAGGTTAGATATTAGGAAAAACTTTCTCACTAGAAGGGTAGTAAAGCAGTGGAACAGGCTACCCAGAGTAGCTGTGGAATCTCCATCCCTGGAGACTTTTAAGACCCAGCTAGACAAAGCCTTGGCTACGATGTCATAGTTGGAGCTGCTCCTGCTTTGAGGAGGAGGTTTGACTAGATGAACTCTGGAGGTCCCTTCCAACTCTAATTTTATATGATTCTATCATTCAAAGAGGGTCTTTTGTACCTAAAGATAAGGTGAGACAATAATTGAAGACAAATAGGAGAAGTGGACAAACAATGCCTTGAGTCTGAAGTCACAGACAGAGGGAAGCAAATGGGGCAGGCAAAGGTTTAGCAGAGCAGCTCCATGCTCAGGGCATCCATGATATATGGACAGTGCTGGCTGCCCTGGTCCCAATCACAGCAGGGTGATCAGCTGCTGGTGCAGTGGTAGATATTTTTGCATCCTCCCTCTCCTCAGTTATGCTATAGTGGACAAGCATTAGTTTGATACTTTTCTGTATTATTGTCTCATATTCAGCATGCAGGACCTCAATTCAGGCTTCCCTGTAATCCATGGAAAGAGTCCCATCAGCTTCACTGGACTCTAGATCAGATTCATAGTGAGCAAGGGATTAATTTTCAAAGCTGACTAACAAGCACTTCTGAGCATTGCTCATAACCCCAGTCAAACCCTGGACTGGCACAGGTCTCCAGCCAATATCAAATTAAACCCCAGTAAATTAGCTCAGATTAACTTTTTTGATTTCATTCCAGAATGCTCATCAACCTCATTAAACACAAGCCCAAGATGACAGATGAAGAACTGCAGACAATTTTCACAGGCTTTAGTGGTATGGTGGATAAATGCTGCAAGGCAGCAGACCATGATACCTGCTTTGGCGAAGAGGTATCCCTTCTTTTTTCATAATACAGGGCCTAGTCTTGATCAATGAAAGAATAGGCAAAACATATCTATATCTACATTTATTTTAAATGGTTCAGGCACCACAAAATAAATCTATTTTTATCTATTTATGTCTCTTAACTATACATTATCTACAGGAATTTTAAAATACAAATTCTGAACAAATTAAGTTGAGATAAACATACTCCTCCCCTGGACACCTCACATTAAATGGAACAACAGAAAAACAGTTTGAGACCTGTAGGTGGATTCCTATTTATGTCCAGTACTAATCCATTATGTGAAGGATTTATCTGTTAGTAGTACATTAATGCATGAAATAAATATCCCTCTAGGCATTTATTAACTGAAATACCAATATTACACTATATTTAAGTACATTTTTTTCACTTATCATCCAGATACTACAATGGGGGTCAAATTATACACACCTAGAAAGGGAACCAACTGACTATGAACTAATTCCATAGAAACATGATGGTCTAGAGCAGTGGTTTTCAAACTATGGTCTTTGAAATCCTGGGGTTCCATGGTATGTTATCAGTAGGGTGGCCATCATAGAGGACAGTCCAGTTGTCCTCTGTCTGCTATTGATACGAAACTGGGTACCTTTATGTCCTGTATTTTTTTTCTTCAAGAGAAAAATAGAGGACATAAACACGCCTGGTTTTGTATCAGTAGAGGACAGAGGACAGAGTAGTAGCAAACCAGAATGTCATCTATGATGGCCACCCTAGTTATTAGGGGTTCTGTGAAGAGATTGAGTATAATGGCATGGCATGCTGCAGATGGCATGCTGCCATTCTCAGGCCAGGGTGCCTGCCTCTGCATCAGCTATTTAGGACAGAAGTAGGGTTTCTGCAGCAGAAGAAGTGATATGAAAGATCTCTGTGACTTCAGGTAGTTTGAAAACCACTGGCTTAGAGCATTGGCGATTGGTGCCTCCTAAATCTGGGGGAGCACCAGATTTCCAATGGGGGGGGTTTCCCCCCATGGCTGCTTCCCAACTGGGGGGGGGG